AATTTACCATTGTACATATGCAACTACAATCTCATAAATGAATAAAATTTCTGTTAGGCGAAAAAAACAATACTTATAATAAATAAATATAAAATTAATCCAAAACTTTTTAATAATTATATTTTGCTTTCTTTTTTAAACAATTTGTTTTCCAATGCTTTCTTACTAAAAATACTAATTTTATAAAATGCCACGAAAGCTAGATCCATTTGAGACCAGTCTATATATTCGTTTTTCATGTTATTTTTTAAATTTAAAAAAAAACTTTTTTTTTCTGCATCCGGACAAACCCATTTTTCTTCTTTATACTTAACAAACCTCTCAATAAACTCATAGTATATAAACGATGTTTTATAAAGATCCAAAAAAAATTCCTCTATTTTAGAATTAGACTCGTCGCTAATTTCTACAACTTCTTTGTTTGAATAAAAATGTTTATTAAAAGAAACTACTGTCGCACAAAAATAATTTCGAAAACTACTAAAAATCCTTTCTTCACCGTGTTTAAAAAGGGCAGTTAAAAAATTAATATTATCTTCTTCTATATTTGAATGTTTTTTCTTAGTATTTGTAGGTGCCAATTCTTGATTAAAAACATTATTAAAAACCGCTGAAATTATCTCAAAAGATTCAGAATTTTTATTGATCTCATAAACAGTAACAGGATAGACAAAATTATTTTCTTTATGCTGTCCAGAATCAACAAAAATGTCCTTTGGAAAACTTTTTAAAACTGGAAATCTAATTTCAATCTCTTGAATACGTCGCTGAGATATAATTGATAAAATACCTAAGTAATTATTGAGTAATATAATGTGACTTTGCAACAAATTAAAACAATTATTCTTATCTTTTTCAAATTGATCGGTACATCTTGCATTATTTGCTTTTTTAGATTTCTTAATAAGACGCTTAGCAAATTTTCCATCATAGATCTTTGTTTTTTCTTTTACGTATTTTAAAAAAGAATAATATATTAAGATATTGTTAGAAAACCTAATTGAATCTGGCAAAGAACAATAGCTTTTAAATACTTCATTAAAAATATCCTTCATAAATCTTATATACGAATTTTTATCGTTTTCACTAATAGCAGGTATCTCGTGTATAAATTTAACTCGACTTTCAAATTTATATCTAAAATTATATAGAGTATAATCAATAATTGATGATAATGCTGTGTAAACATTCTCAAAACTTGCAAACAAACAACTTTCATAAATTCTAGAGGATAGATCAAAATCAAAATTCATTTTTTTTTCTGCAAAATAGCATGCTTTATTATAAACTATTCTCCAGCCCTTATTTACATCTAAATCATAGCTTTCAGGATTAATAAGGCGTTTTATTTTGTCAATGTAATAATAGGAAAGAGTCTTAGAAAATAATCCAAACTCATCTTCAAACAAGTCATTATACTTACAACTAAAATTGTCTAACATCTTATAATAAAATTGCCCTTTCCAAACATCATTAAAAAAATCACTAATATTTGAATCCATTTTTATACTTTCCAAATCTCTAAAAACTAGGATAGTAGTTAATATTTTATCCAAACTAAATTCATTTTTGTTTATTAAACTAAAAAACTCTTTCTTAAAATCTATTAATTTTTTCTTTAAATCACAGCTTTTTGCAAATTGCTCTTTACCATCAATAATATTAACTACTTTTGAAGTATCTTTATCTAAATCACTAAAATCAACACTCTTAGGAAGTTTATTACAAAATTCATCCTTTAAAGTATCGTTTTTGATACTTGATTCGTTATTATTTTCAAGTGTACAACATCGATTTTCATCACTGCAATAAATAAATATCGTAAGTAGAAAAAAAAACATGGGTAAATTTTTATTTTACTTTATAAAAGAAAATAAATTAAAATTTTACAAGCCTGGTTAACATATGCAAACTTTTTTAGTATTTATCAAATTAAAATTGTCAACAACACTTTTATTTACCTCTTCAAAGTCTTGAATCGGGTCCAAACATAAAGTATTAAATAATTAATTCTTCAGATAATGAAAGGTCCTCGATAAAATTATATTTTTTTATTAAATTTGTTTATAAAAAAATAATTTTTATAAAAAAAGAAAAGGAAATATTTAAAAATTTATTTACCAAAATAAATAGTAATTTTTAAAAAATCAAAAGAAACTTACTTTATTAAATTGTTTTTATGACATAAAATATCACAACTTATATAAATAAACAAAAACTGCAT